CTAAACTCAGAAGGAAACTAGAAGGAAAAGCAAAACAGGAGGCATAAAAAGAAATGGGTAGGGAGAAATTGGATGAGGAAGTTAAAAGGTATTTTCAGCATCTCTGATCTAGAACACCGGCGTTGCCCAATTAGGTCTCTTTGCACTCGTGGCTTACTCTAATGTAGGTTTTTTTTTCTCCGCTTACATTCAATAGTGGTACTCTCTAAATGTACTTGACTTCTCATCTCAGAATTCCCTAGCTAGCTGAAGGTTTCTCAAACTTGGGTCTAGGATGGGGTGTCAAACTCAAGGCCTGAGGGCTGGATTCGGCCTGCAGGGTGCTAAGATCTGGCCCACTGGGCCACTCTGGAATCAGCAACAGACTGGCCCCACGGTGCCTCTGCCAGTGAAAACGGAGCTTGTGAGGGCCACTTGCAGCCCTCCATAGCTCCGTTTTTGCTGGCAGAGGTTACAGGATGCTGTCGCAGCCAAAAATGGAGCTCATGAGCCACCACAGATGCCCTCAACATGAGTGACGTTGAGCTGGCCATGCCCTCCCCTGACTCCCCAAGGTCAAACACTTCCCTGATGCGGCCCTCAATGAAATCACAACTTGCCACAGCCGACTCCTCCTGGCCAATTCACACAGCGACAACTCGCTGTGAGATAACTCAAGAGAGGGGCAAGTGGAATTGCAGCTCACCCCAGCCTGGAGGACTTCTAACTTGAGAAGGTTCAAACCTAAGCATCAAGATGAGGCCCGCTGCAACCTTCTCAAGTCCCTCTCTTGAGTTATCCTGTGTTGAATTGAACTGTGGCAAGTTGGCCAGGGTGAGTCAGCTGTGGCGAGATGGGCCAGGATCAGTTGGCCAAGGCAGGTTTATCCCACTCTGTCCAAAGTTGGCAACTTTTAAGACTTGTGGACTTCAACTTCCAGAATTTTGCAGCCATCATGCCTGGCTGGAGAATTCCGGAAGTTGAAGTCCGCACGCCTTAATGTTGTCAAGTTTGGAGATCCCTGATTTTGATGATACCAGAGTAGAGGACATAATTTGATATTTGAATCATGTCTGATATGCATGGCTTCTTGGGACAGCACTAGACTGAATGTGAAAGTTGCTTGTGAGCTCTTTCCTTCAATTCCTGATTCCCCCCCCCTTACTGAATTTCCCACTGGTTTAATTTTGGGGGGGAGGACAGGACACCTCAATCCATTGCTAGTCTTCCCCCCAGTTAAACATTTGAATATTTCCTATTCATGACTCTTCATGTTAGAACAAGATCAGATTTTTTTTGTTCAAGTTGCTAAGGGAAGTAGAAAACATTCAGCATTTTAAAACAGTTCGAAGGGGCAAAGAAACTCTTTCTCAACCACCCCTCGCCCGTATTCCCCCCCCCCCCCAATGGAATGTTCTTTTCATGGGTCTGCATGCAATATAACATCACTTGAATACATCAGGCTTCATTTAACACTATCATATAAATAAGCTTATTCCTTCTATACTGGGCAAGTAATTTTTTTCCCCTGCAGTCCATAATTTTATATAGATAGATAGATACACGTATATGTATCTATCTATCTATATTTATATACAACAAATGGGAGAAAAACAAAGGACCAATAATGCAAGCAGCAAAATAAAGCTGGACCAAAAACAAGTCAGCCAGTGGTAAATTGAGAAGTTACGACCCAACTTTCTGTCTGCTGGTTTCTAAACAACAGAAATAATGTATAAATATTTTGCAGGGGAAAGTTTAGACAAATCAAGAGAATAAATCAAACAGTTGTCGTAGGGAACAACACACTGTGGAATATCTCGCCAGCTGATGGCAAAAGAAAGAAGATAAACTACAAGAGCATCCATTTCAATTTGTTTTGAAAAATTTCACCAGGGGTGGGGGGAGAAAAACCTCGACACATTTTTCCCCTCTTTTTTTTGAGACAAATGCTAATTATTAACAAATACTTCTGGTCTCGACCCTCAAAACCATCTGATCTTGCATGGTGTCAGCTTCACCTGTTCAACACTTCTGCAAATGTTACACTCTCTCTTGCAAAGGGTAACGTGACATTTCTATTCAGCCAAAATGGGAGGTTGGAATGGTAAAATCCCAGTTTTAAATATTTTCTGTTGTTGTTAAAAACAAAAATACAATCTAATAACACTTCAGGGTTTTGTAAACATAAACAGCAACCTAAAAACAACAGCCCCGAATTGCATACCGTTTTCAAAACAATTACACACGAGTGGTCAAAGCTTCCTGTATCATTCCAACTACAAGAGAATCCCCTTTGGATTTCTTGCTAGAGGGTGGAATAAAAATCAAGATTATAGCCAGAGGAAATAAGTGGGGAGGGAGGAGGAGGTGGTGAATCCAGAGCCCCCTTTCACTGTCTTGTAAAACACAAAACAAAAAGGCCCTTGTATAATTTGAGAATCAGACTTGACTCCATTTCTCTTTCAGCTACTCTGCTTCTACTCTAATTTATAGTGGGGGGGACAGGGTGTTTAAAGGTGATGTTGGCTCTTCCTTAGAACCTCCCTGAGGCCTTATGGTCTCACAGGAGTAGTTATGAAGAAGGAATGTGTAGTAGGCTCTGTCATGAAACCTTACTTCCATTTCCCAAGTGGAATAAAAATGGTAGAACGTAGAATAGCAGTTGGGTGGAGAAGAATCCTAAATCATGATCTGCTGGATTATGGCCTAAGACAAGACACACTTGTGAACCTGGTCATTCGTTGACTATAATACACTATTAGTCTTTATAACAAACCTCAGGATAGTCCTCTGTTCATTCTACTCTGATCTTCAGTCTCATCTGAGAATATGGTGGCCGGGGGAACTTTGAAAAGACCAGCAGAAGTTTTCTGGAACTAAGAGCAAGTCACTTGTTGATGTCATCTTAGAGCAGGGGTCTTCAAGCTTAACAGCTTTAAGACTTGTGGACTTTAACTCCCAGAATTCCTCCTCCAGTCATGTTAGCTCAGGAATTCTGGGAGTTGAAGTCCACAAGCCTTAAACTTGCCAAGTTTGAGGACCTTTGTCTGAGCGCAACATCTGAAATGGAAGGCCATTTGCCTTCTAGTACCATAAGAACAATGAAATCCTTGGTGATGACTGAGCTCAGAGACCACCAAGGACTCCACAGTTCAATCCTGAGCTACATATATGCTCTCCTAAACCATAAGTACCCTAAGACCCCTCGCTGGCAAGCAGCAGAGATGGTCTCCTGCATTAATCCAAGATGGACTGTGCTTTTCTGTTGCCTGAAAAGCCTAAATTCCTACAGACCTTCTAATCTAAAGATAACAGAGTACATTTGTTCTCACAGTTTTCCAATGAGGCAGGAAAAAAAAAGAAAACATATGTTTAAAAATGACCTAACTTATAAAGGTGGCCATTAAAAAAATAATGGAAATAATAAAAGTTTGGACATTGTAGCTTTTTGGACAACCAACATGAATTATTTCCTCATCACTAGCACTAAGGGATAGCTAACAAAGTGATGAGTAGTAAAAGAGTAGCAGGCTACATGAATGCAATCAAGTAAAAAAAAAAAATCCTTCCCTGGTTCCATCAACCCTTCCTTTCTGGCAACACATTCAATCAAATAAGAAGTTTTGAATTATCCAAGAGGTAGCAACTATTTTGTATTTTTGAAATTGCTGACAGATTTGCATGACGTAAGCCAACCTGTGCAATAAACTAGGCATCTAACCATTTGTTCAAAGCCTCTTTTCCAATATCACAAAGGAAAGCTTGCTTCAGTGGATTTTAAACACAGCTTATCACAGGGGCCTTTGTGTGAACCAAGGTGTATGTTCAACTACCGATTCCCACCATCAGAATCCCACTCACCTCTTAACACCCATCAGTAGAAAGTTCTCCAGAGTTTTGCTTAGAGAACATCTACACCAGGGGTCTTCAAATTTGACAGCTTTAAGACTTATGGACTTCAACTCCCAGAATTCCTCCTCCAGTCATGTTAGCTCAGAAATTCTGGGAGTTGAGGTCCACAAGTCTTAAACTTGCCAAATTTGAAGACCCTTGATCTACACTCAAGGAGGCACCTTGAAGTTCTCCCTGAACTTAAGAGGTCTTCCCACGTGACCATGGAGAACTTCTCACAAACTTCTGATGACATTTGCAATGTACATTTCTGGGAGTGGACCAGTTCCACGCAGAGATTCCCATAAAGATATCTATGGCTGTTTTCTTCTGTAGTGTTTATATGTTGAACAAGCCAATTCTTTCAAAAATAATAAAAACCACAAGCTATTAAAGTAAGTGATACAGTTTCACATAATATAAATAATGTTAGGTTATTATTATTATTAATATCATCACCGTTATTTTTTTTTTTAGTGTTTTTCATACAAGTTCTAAAATAGCTTTAGCAGAATATTAATGTTATAGCAGGGGTGTCAAACTGCATTGTTTTTGGAAGGTTGGATCAGCATTGTAGTTGTCCTCCATGGGCTGGCCAGGTGGGGAAGGAGATGGGACAGATGGCCTCCTGCAGCACCCTGCTGGCTAAAACAGGGCATTAGGGGGCCCCTGTGCACCCCATTTTTGGCCTGGACGGTCTCCTGCAGCATGTTTTGGCTGGCAGGTAGTGCTTCAGGAGGCCATCCAGGCCAAAAACGGGGCGAGTCCCACCCACAACCCATTTTTGCTAGTAGAGGCACCGCAGGCAGGTTTTTTGCTATTTCCGGGCCAGCACTGCGGGCCCACAGGCGGCCCCCCCATGCCCCATTTTCAGTCTGGACATCCTCCTGCCGGCCAAAACGGGGCGCTGGGGGACTCCTGCACATCCCATTTTCAGCCTGGCCATTTTCAGTACCCTGCAGTGTGTTTTGGCCTGCAGAGTGCTGAAGGAGGTTGTCCAGGCCAAAAATGTGGCGTGCCCCACCTGTGCCCCATTTTTCGCTAGCGGAGGCTCTGTGGGCCTCTGTGTGTCCTTTGCTGTTTCCAGGATGGCCCCACAGGCTGGATCAAAGCACCTTGAGTTGGGCCTCGAGTTTGACACCCCTGTGTTATAGCAACAATACTAACACGAATAAGGACAACACCAATCTTTTCCCCAAGAGGCCACAACATGCCTTCCTTCATGTGTGGGAGAATTTCCCAAGAGGTGGAGAAGGTAGGAGTCCATTTCATGTCTGGTAGAAGTGGTGGTAGTGGTGGTGGTGCTCATGATGATGGTGATGCTCATGTCTCTGGATCATCTGCCCAACTTGGCCTTCATACAAGATGACCGCAGGCAGATCTCTGACGTGCTCTTTTTCCATCACTCTCCCGGGAGCTTGGAAGCTTTTGCACAACTGGTGAGTCTCTTTTGCCCTCTGCTTATGTTTCTTGTAAGTCTGCTGAGACTGCATGGGGTGGTAAGGTAGGTTCTGGCCTCCCCGTGCAGTAGGAGAAGTCACGGGAACCGGTACTCCTTGGATGGGTTTACTTCTCATCGCCCTTCCGGTGTGAATAGAAGCAGTGTTTTTGCTCTGAGTCTTGGGAGACTTCACGAAATGCCTGCTGGGCTCTTGACTTCGCAGCCTCTGCTGAATTTCTGCCAGCTTTGCATATGAAGCTTCCATTAAGTTGATATGGGCAGGATCCACCACAGGGGACCTCCGCTGGTGGCCATGGAAGACCTCTGGCTCATGTGAACGGGATCTTGTTTGATTGGCAACCCAAACGGTTGGATTGTGCTTCTGAGTGATCGGTGGAGAGCCTAACAAACAACAAAAGATCATTTAAATATTGCAAGGCAACCTGACCAAATGGTCCTCTCTGATTTACAGACATTGGTGGCTGCCTTAGTCACTCCTGCTGCAAATAACAATAGCAATAGCACTTAGACATATACAGCTTCACAGTTCTTTTCGGCCATCTCTAAGCAGTTTACAGAGTCAGCCTATCGCCCCCAACAATCTGGGTCCTCATTTTACCCACCTCGGAAGGACAGAAGTCTGAGTCAACCTTGAGCCTGGTGAGATTCAAACTGCCAAACTGCAAGCAGTCAGCAATCAGCAGAAGTAGCCTGCAGTACTGCACTCTAACCACTGTGCCACCTCGGCCTTGATATATAAATATAACAATTTTACCATTATTAAAGAAAGATAAATTGTGTTCATTTAGTCCAGGTGTCTTCAAACTTTACAGCTCTAAGACATGTGGACTTCAACTCCCAGAATTCCTCCTCCAGTCATGTTAGTTCAGGAATTCTGGGAGTTGAAGTCCACAAGTCTTAAGCTTGCCAAGTTTGAAGACCCTTGATTTAATTCTTGTTGTGGACTGAACATGGAAGATGTTGACATGAAGAGGTCTGGGGAGACAAAACACTAGACTTCTAACAATCACTTCCACACTGAGTCACAGGGTAGAAAAGAAATAAACATGTCTATAACATGAAGTATAAATATTTTGATCAAGGGCAAGTTAAAAATACTTTGATTAACTAACTTCATTTAAACAAATTTTGCTTAGTACATCACACCTCAGGTTGTCTTCGACTTACCACTGTTCCTCACACTTACACCTCTTGTAGCAGGTGTCATGCTCCTTCGTGTAACAGTAAAAACTGAGTAGCCCCCCCCCCCCAAAAAAAACCTCAATAGTCCCCTTCCTCTGCTGATCCAAAGCTTCTTAAATATGCTAACTAGAACTCAGAAGCAGTTCAAAAGCATGCAAATGTTAGTAGATAAATAGGTACCACTTTGGTGAGAAGGAAACCGCTTTCTGTGTTTTCATGCAGGCTACATGACCATGGAAATGTCTTCGGACAGAGCTGGCTCAGTGGCCTTGAAATGGAGTTGAGTGCCACCCCCTATAGTTGGCAACAACTAGTAAAATACACACAGGGATTCCTCCTTCATTTTATCTTCATTGGAACTAGAGAGGGCCTTGTCTGAGAAGTTTCCTCAGATTTTTGGACCGGGATCAAGCCCCGTTTATCTAACCATTGCCTTCCTAGTTGTCTGTTGCTCCTTTCCCCCTATGCTTCTACAAAAACCTTCTGGAAAAATACAGGTAATCAAAGCTGTCCTTAAGAGCCGAGACCTCCACACTTCACCCGTTTCTGCCCTTTCCAGGACCACTGCTCCAAGTCTCAAAATGCATCCTGATCTCCGGATACTCAGCATTGCCCCATTGTCCAAGTAAACCGGACAGTCCAATTTCAAAACATTAAAAACAGGATCTGGAATGAATTGCAAGGCATGGATGCAAAAATACCTGGCCCAAACTTCGATGTGTAGTTTTCGATTCCTGCAAGATCTAAATAGTGGTTCCTCCTTTCAATGTTTTCATCAACACAGTGATGGTAGCATCCATTCGGTTCAGGCTTGGATTCTCCATGGTGATACCTGTTCCCAAATTACAGGATGCCTATTAGTTTCATCGTGTGCCATGCCTTTAAAAACTAAGCTTTGTGCTGAAATATGAACACAATTCTATATTTATTGGCGGGTTGTATGCTTTCTGGACAGAAAACTTTAATTTCAACTTCTGATATTTCCAATTGAAGGAATTGATGGAAGATACCTTGATGTGGCAATCTAGAGTTGCCTTGGTGACACAGAAGTTTAATCAATAAATAAATCTGAACAGCTAGTTCCTTTGGAGATGGTTTAGATTTCAGAGAGACGCGTCCTCCAAGTCCCTTGACTTTTGTTTTTATTTTTTGTAAGGACTTTAATCTGAAACTCTCAACAGATGTTAAAAGACCATGGGAGTCTTCTCAACTCATGGTTAGCACCTGCTTGGCATGAGATGAGGGTCCACAGAATTCAAGGGAGGTTGGACTCAGTTCATTTGTGGCTACATAGGGATTCTAGGCTGATGCCTCTTTTAACTCCACCCCCAGTTTCTGCCACTCATTCTCCTACAACAGGAGACAGCAGATAGTTGACTTGGGTTGTGCTGAGCTAAGCAGCACAGAGGCTCAGATTTGGTTAATCCTTGAATGAGAAACTACCAGAGAGGTCCTTGTTTGCAGCCTGGCAGCTTTGCAGAACTTTGTAATTGTTGGTGTTTGTTTTGGCTGGAAATTAAAATGCTAACATTTCCAATGCATTTCACACATATCGTTCACAAGAAGGAAGTTCAGCGGCGATGTTCCTTCTTCCTTGATTTGCAGGAGACAGGTTCAATACTCCTTGTTCCGAGCTTCTGAACCATGCCATGTTAATATGGGGGCATCCTCATTAAAGTGGGACATCCTACAGGGGAAACATATATTGGGCCCAGCATTGTTTCCAGAAGTGCTAAACCGAATGCTTAAATCCAAGGCTATCTAGCACGGCATTTCCCCAGAGAGAGATAAAACGTTTTGCTCCAGTTTACCTGAGGGAACCCCTTGGCTTCTTCTCACAACTTCTTGCTTCTTCACCAGCTTTATTCTCTGCTCGATGCCTTGAGCTTTGAAGATCTGCTTTCACAACAGAGAGAGAGAGAGAGAGAGGAGGGAGGGAGGAGGAGAGAGGGGGAGAGAGAGAGAGAGAGAGAGAGAAAGAGATGGTTATTTCCTCTCTTTTTATTGATTTTCTGGCACAGCTCAACTAAACAGGGAACATCTATTCTTGGTGAAAAATAGGTAGACAGATGCATTTCTTTGCCTCCAGCCTTGAAGGCAGGAAAAGATTCAGCACGCCTCTTAAGAAACATTCTCCAATTTCAGAGGAGGGGAAAAAAGCGACTGACTAAAGCGAAGAAGTGCAAGCAGGAAAGAGACGTTCAAAGAAACGTTGGCCAGACAAAGCAAGAAAAGCAGAGCTAAGATTTTCAACCAGACCAACGGGAATGGAGAACTCAATCCCTTTCACTAAAGAAACTTTGCCATGTACTATTTCAATTTCCTTGAAAGGTTGCAATTCCACATCACATTAAGCCAGGATAGATTAACCCACGGTTTCTTCAATGAATCATTATGACTTAGCTTGTAAAAACAAACCAACCCATGTTGATCTCAATCCGAAATGAACAAATCTTATTATGGCTTGGTATAATGTGCAAACACAACTTCAGAATCTCTCCCAGTGTAAGGAATATCTTATGATGGTTTGTTTGGAGAAGAAAGAAAGGCCCAAATCAAATCATACCAGTGTGGTTCAGCATGATGCTTCTCTTCTTCTGGCTACCATCTGGAGCAACAGTGAGCTTAACTCTCAAAGTTTTACTAGAGTTGGGTGAATGGTTGACAGAGGCATCCACAACTTCATAGATGGTATGAAGCAGGCTTGTAATATCCTAGAAACAGAAGAAAATACATATGTAAACCCCAAAGATAGTGTTTATTCTGCCAGGAGCCAAACTTACTTATTTCCTTTACAGAAACAGTAATTCTTACCAACAGTCTGAAATCCCACACTTACTGTTCAAAGAGCTATGCATATTTTGTAATATCACAGCAGCAATTATAAAATTACAATTACAGAGTGATTGTGTAAAGTTTCTGGGTCAGTTAATTAGCACCCAAACTGTTTCAGCCATCAGAATATAAGACACTTCTCAAGTGAAGGAAACATATTCATATCC